TCATTGACACATTTCATCATTGACACATTTCATCCTTCACACATTTGATCGTTGACGCATTTCTTCATTGACGCATTCCATCATTCCCCTTGTTAAGCGATCAGTGCCTGTTTTGATTCGAGAGACCAGGATTCACATCCAGTATTACCACACAACCCTAACAAAATTGAGAGTCACCCAGCTTCTGGTAATCCAAATCAGAAGCTGCCGCGTCTGCAAATTTTTACTGGGTGCAGCAACACTTGCCTGTATTGGGCATCCTGCTGCCCCTAGTGGTGTCAACCCTGAGTCTGTTGTTGCCATCGTAGACGTCGTAGAATATGGGACCGCTGTATTGCCCTGACGTCATATTGCTGCGGACAACAATATCACCATAAATAATCGTTTCTGCCTCATCAGTGCATGCTCCTCTAAATATTGCACTATCTCTCATAATCAAATAACTGGACCAATTTTCATAATTTCATTATTCCATATTAATTTACTTAACATTCCTATAATCTTGCAATAATCTTGCTCCGCTCGAAATGCATACAGTATTTGCTGGTGCACACCTATTGCTATTAAACTTCACAAGAATTTCAACTCAAAGTGTAACATTCAAGACTATTTCACCCCCGGTATGGTGATGCAATAAATATGCTACATTTGGTTTCACGATACAATGTAAAATTTACACCGCAAACCGACATCGAGTATTTAGATTCATATGTTACCTCGCAAACTGACATCTAGTACTTAGATTATTATGCTACACCTCAAGCTTACATCAAAAATTTATATGGATAAGTTACATTACAAAATGACCCCTAATATAAACATTGCTATTTTACATTGAAATGGTATCTAATTTTCAGGCTGTTGCGTTGTACAGCCTACTGGCCTCTTGTATTGAAACTGTTGTGCTACATTACAGGCTGGCAGCTAGTACCTAAATTATTATGTTATATCGTAAGCTGACATTTAGTATGTAGATGGTAACGTTGCATCGCCGGCTGAAATCTACTATCACAATTCTATGCGGTTTATGCAGACTAGTGATAGTTCTTACGATTAATGCAGACTAGTGATATGAGTTCTTTCATGCATTTCAACATATAAGCGCTATTATCATGAGCGCGGCAAGCTCTTTATCAAAGATTCTGTTACGCTTGATTGAGTTTCCTTTAGAAGCCAACTATATTTCAGCAAATGCTTTCTAGGAAACAATAGGCGATTGCAATTATATTCATGGTTATTTGTGAACGTTTTACATATTTAACCACTTCCTCAAACCCTGAGGGGAAACCAAAACGGGAACTCCAAAGGCCAACTATCGATGCTGCGAAATGCTAAATTGATGGAAAACGCGGAAAATTATTACGATACAGCAAATAATAGAAACTTGTTAAACTTGATGTAGAGGCTGTCACCAGCTGCATTAGGCGAAATAATAATACCAGTATCATCTGTTCCTACCTGTACTTGAAGTTGATGTAGAGCGTGTCACCAGCTGCATTAGGCGTAATAATAATACCAGTATCATCTGTTCCTGTCTCTTATACACATCTAGATGTGTATAAGAGACAGGTTCAGGGNCACACAAGTACCAGCTGTTCCTACCTGTACTTGAAGTTGATGTAGAGCGTGTCACCAGCTGCAGTAGACGTAGTGATCACACAAGTACCAGCTGTTCCTACCTGTACTTGAAGTTGATGTAGAGCGTGTCACCAGCTGCAGTAAGGGTGATGCACCTCAGGCCAGCTTCAGCTCCCGTGGGATGCCAGGCGATCAGCGGCAAGTTCGTCCACTTGTTCACCTGTTGAAATCATCACATTCACGTCTGCTCACTGCTCACCACGCTGCTCACTGCTCACCACGCTGCTCACTGCTCACCACGCTGCTCACTGCTCACCACGCTGCTCACTGCTCACCACGCTGCTCACTGCTCACCAGGCTGCGGCCGTACGCCGTCTGTGTGAGGGGGTCCGCGAAGCCTGCGCCGCCGGGGCAGCCGCCGACGATGAAAAGTTTAGCGGACGCCAGCGACGGCGACAGCAGCGCTACCAGCCACCAAGCCAGCACCATGTCAACCTGTACACAGAACACAGAACGCTGGCAACACAGGGCGCTGGCTACACAGAGCGCTGGCTACACAGAGAAACACAGGGCGCTGGCAACACAGAACAACACAGAGCGACTCCGAGCGCTGGCAACCGGCGCAACACAGAGCGCTGGCAATACAGCTAGTGTTGGCAATCAACCGGAGCAACACAGAGCGCTGGCAACCGGAGCAACACAGAGCGCTGGCAACACAGAGGCAATTAAATATTACTTGAGAGGCAGAATATGGGATAGTTGATAGTGTAATGTGCTAATCAGTGATACTTCCCAACTCTGATTTTTAGTCTCAGAAATAGTCATTGCGTCACAACTCCCTGAATGCCATGAAACTCTAGTTAGTAGTCAATAAAAATTAATAGCCTTATTCCTAAAAAAATGAACAATTTTGCAATTGAATTCGATACAAAATTTTCAAGCTGAATACTCCAAGGTTCAAAGTCCAACTTAGCATATGAAGTAAATGGAGAAACTGCTCCTCAAAAATATAGAAAGTGAATATTACAAAATAATTAGAGGTAAATGCATTCATTTGCGATAGAGCTCTACAATTATACAGTGACATAGGCATGCATCACGTAACTAGGCATGCATCACGTAACTAGGCATGCATCGCGTAACTAGGCATGCATCACGTAACTAGGCATGCATCACGTAACTAGGCATGCATCGCGTAACTAGGCATGAGTCCTATTGACAAGTGGTGGCTGGTAGCGCAGTCCAGTTGGCACTTGGTTCGCTCACTGATTTCGATTTCGGAACATTAAAAATTGCATATCATTCACAATGCATACCATTTTAATACATACCATTTACAATGCATGCCATTTTAATGCATACCATTTACGATTCAAATAGTAATTTGAATATACAATGCATACCACTCACAATGCAAATAGTGGTTTGCATTTAAAATGTATACCATTTACAATGAATATAATTTACATTTGATTATCACTCACATTTGCATATAGTTTATAATTGCGTATCATTTGCAATTGCAAATAAATTAAAATTGATATCAATAACAATGCCACATCCTTTACAATAGCATTTCAAAGGCAATAAATCATCACGAATATTCTGTTAGTTTTCGACTGTATTGGTTCTTAAACGCTTTATTTGTTCTTCCATTTGGTTTATCACAACGACGTATAATTGGTTCATAACCGCGTGGCCTAACAGAGGTACCCCGCACTTCTGGAATAAATCTAAGAAACAGCCTTCACCCAACCATTAAGCATTGGATTTTATTTTAGAATTTATGTACGGTAAGCCAGAAGGTCGTTCATTGGCAATTACTTGGCAAGCTATACAATTATCAAAAACATTTAACACAGTAAACGCTTACCTTGGCGAAAAGATCGAGAAAACTTAGATTACTTCTGTTGCAAAGAGCGCTTGCGTTCGCTGCCGCCTCGAGCTCAGGAATGCTGCTGTTCTCTGGCCCGCGACCTCCGAACCTGACACAGGTGTCACAAGCCAACGATTTGATCTTTGCATTATTCAGGCCTAATGTGATATCAGAATGCTGAATTTGATATCGCTCGATGCATCTAATAGCTATCAAAGGTATTCGAGGCTGAGAGCTTAATTGACATTTTAAATTATTTGATTCGTGCACTAAGAGAATGATTCACTTTTCCATTCACGATTTTCTGATAAATACCAGGTTTCATTCTTCCATTCTAATCGTAATTCCAGAACATTCCGTTCTTAATTGAAATTTTTAGCGTTTTTTCCAATAACGAGTTGACAATTCTATTACTCTTTCGTATATATATTATTTTATATCAAGGTTTTAGATATACTTTAGATATACATATACTTATAAATGAATGAAAGTAATATTTGTGTATGCGCATTATCATTTATTACTTCAGAAAGAACTGGAAATTAATTAAAGACTATTTTAGATACAAGTAAAGAATATAGAATAAACGGTGGAAGATATCTGCACAAACTCCCATTCAAGACTTCATTTAACTTTCCATGAATCCAGTCAACCCTTCAGGGTGCCAATCAATATTCCGGGAACCTCAATCCTCCAGACACCAATCAGCCTTCTATGACTACCCTAAATGATCCAAAACTCCAATCTATTCTTGAAGTTTCCAATTGAACCTCCCGGACTCCATTCAACCTTTCAGGCATCACATTGTTACAGCCCAACTTTCTGCAGAATGTCGGTCGCGCTTTTTTTCTTCCAACTCATCACTCGAAACTGAAATGGAACGCGAGCTTTGCCCAATTCACTCTCGATTGCGTCGCCTTCCTCAACCGTGGTTAGACGTGGTTGTTGCTTGGTGATCGATCTGCCATAGAAGGTCCCAAACGCTTTATTTGACAAGTGGTGATGCTTTATTTGACACCAGCATCACAAGTGGTGATGCTGGTGATCTCCGGCGCTGCAGTCCGCCTCTGTTATCTTTGCCTAGATCATGGACTATCTAAGCACCTTTGTCTTCGAACATAACCGGATACGTCAACCTTGAAGCGGACCTATATTATAGTCCTACCGCCGGCACTGCATGCCCTCCGTCTGAATTTTGAAGATGAATTATTTGCTACTTATTGATGACCAGCGAGGCAGGAGGTTTCTACTGGGCGGCGACCATTGGATAAAGAGTCCCGGCGCGCTCCTCCAATAGGCTCATGTATGTGAAGCCTATATAGAGTATTTCCAAGTCTCGTTGGCCGGCCACCTTACCAATGTGTGATTTCATAACGACCAAGCCCCGGCAACGTCAACTGATGGGCCCAGCCGAACCATCTTGTCTTTATATATGATCTAGCTGTTCAAACTTATACCTAACCCTCTTTACTATATTAACCATAATACATTAATACATTATAATAATCTCAATATGTATCATATTACATTATGTATTAATTACCATTAATACATATATGTATTTCATTTGAATATTATTCATCACATGACGCACGTGCTTCATCCTTATACCTTACTGCAAATAAAATATTCGCTGAATATCACGATTAGCTATGTAGGTAATATATTGCTCTGCTTTCCAGTAACAACATTAACCCTTCAAAACTCCATTCAATGCTCTAAGCTTCCCTTCAGGACTCCAATCAACCCCAAATATTCAAATCAATCATTCAACCAACTCTTCACCTCTAAACACGGGCGAGACCTTTGCTCGCCCATCTTGGCCTGGTGGTTTAACTTGGCCTTACGGCCCACCTCGGTCTCTTAAAGCCCCATCAACCTTCCAGGATTGCAATCATCCCACACTTCAATATCAAGCTAAAAATGACGTTGCCCCAATTAAGTTGCCGCTTCTTTCTTTGAAGTCAGTGCTCTGAGGCTTGAACTCAAGGATGGATGTTTCGCTCAAATAACCAGTAAAATTAACCAATTGCTGCATGATACAAAACAAAACATAAAAATAATATCAATATACATAAAATTTAAATTTTCACAGACTTTATGCACAAATACTTACTTTACAAATTCACTCACATCTTTACATATGACATACCTCCGTTCAGGTTTTCCAACGCATAATAATCTTCCAAAATTAGCCTTTAGGCATTCCCCTTTTAATAAGTAGTAAACTAAAATGACAATATAAAATATGGAATAAACAAATATTACCGCATCATAATTTTATATTACTAATGTTTTAGAATTTTTATCTCTTCTAGTGGTGTGAACGAGGTCACGATATTTCCAAGAAAATATTCTACTACAATTATGTTATTTTGAGTACGAGCAGGCAGGCTAGTCGGTATATAGAAGGCTTATTTGATCCGCCACCTGATGGTGTCAGGCTGATTCCTTACAACTCATCGAGTGGACAATGCTGAATGTCGCAGTGTTATGTAAGTTGGGTACACTAGTAAACGGCTCCTCAATCGTGTAGGAGGCAAGCAATCCCCAACTCCACGGTTACCTCATGATTCTTTCCACCGCAAACATGTTATATTCTATAACATTATATAATAATAATATAATATTATACAACATCATGAGGTGAAAGTTAGAGGCACAAATTCCCTACATATTATTGAATCTGCAACCGTAAGCAGCAAGAAAAAACCGTTGAGGTTATAGCAGCCCATCCGACCAAATGCCTCATGCTTCTACATACCGCACCGCCTAGCGCCGACTTTCGAGAGATAACTCTTCAGTCTTCACACCATAAAGCCATCAGTGCAGAGTCACTGCTGTTGAATTTTAATAAAATTTGAAAGAAAAGATGCATATTGATTGTAGAACTTTCTATTTAGCGCAGAGGGAAGTACGTCAAAGACGAAATCAATATGAAGCGATAAACGCAGATATTGCACTCACTGTAGTAAAGAGCGAAGACGTCAGTATTGGAATAGAAATTTACTGGTAGTGGATGGCAATTTGTAGAACAATATCTGAAGATAAAAGGATTGAGTTCTCTCTTTCAAATTCTCACTGTAACAACAAGGTTAATGTACAAAAGGATGAGGAAGTACTTTTAAAGCAGTCAGCAAGCATCCGGGTATTGCAGGACTAAGTGGTCAAGTAGCGGTGGTATAGAGTGGATTCTTATCTTGTTAAACACAGATAAGCAGTTTATGACTAATTAAAGGTATAACTCAAATTATTTCAGTATGATCGTAGGCAAATCGTATCCGACAACAAACAAAATAACTATCCTATTTGTTATTTCTAACCCCAAAACAGCCAACGTCGAACGGGCACTTCCTGATGTTTCGATGCAACGTTCATTGGTGGACGCAGGTTATTCGCTCCCGTGTTTAATAGCACCAAATTCGCGTAAGTTGACGATTGTGTAATGCTACGAACCTAAAATTTTTATCTTGAAATTAGTCGCTACATTCTGAATATTTATGTGGACTAGCATCAAATATTTTTGCCGATTATTTATGTTCTGCACAATTATCTCTATTCATGTGCGATATTTATTTTCCGCAGTTTAACAGAGAAATAAAGAGTTTAATCAAGGTTCAACTACGTCTCCTTTCAATTGTTTATCACAGCTCTAACGTAGAATTCAAATTAATTTAAGCACAGAAGCCTTCAGAGCGCCAAAAATACTTAATCGGGTTCAACTACAAGACCACTGGAATAAAGACCTGAACGAACGAACAGAGAAGCGTGAACATGCAATTTAAACTAAAATAAATAAGTTTAAAAACTACTTTTAGAGACAACACTTCTGAAGGGGCCAGTGTTTCTTATGTTACACATGTACAATGAATTTCATATTTTATTTTTATATATTAAAAAAGTTATTAATGTCCATTTTTTTATATTAAACAAATTTTTTTTTCAAATTTTTAAAATTATTTTGTTTCTGTCAATTGATTCCAGCATTGTCTCCGAATTTACGCAAGTGTGCTAAATTTCAAATCGATTGCGCAATTAGAAGTGTGTTAAATATCGATTATAAGATTTGTAGCAGAGAGACAGACAGACAAACAACAAGAAGTGAAGTTAAAGAGAAGTGTTGTAATAAAAAGAGATGTCGTGGGGCTATTATACTGACGGTATGCCTCTGGGAAGATTCCAGTCGTTCTATTTTGGCTGATAATACGTGTTCAAAATTGATGGTTTACGGCTACGCTTCCCTCACGTTACTTATATTTAGCGTGAAGCCCTCACAATCATTGTTTTTTTAATAATGACCAGGATTAGATCTGCAACCGTGCGTACTGCGCCCTATCATTCTAGCAAAAACTTCAGGGTTGCACGAAACATGCTTGCGCCCCCAGTCCGAAATAAACCTACCGACTCTGCGTGGTGAGGCTCCGATAAAACAGCGATTTTAGAGGCTAGAGCTTCAAATATCCGAAGCTCAATTCCAGCAGGTGAGTAGAAGCGTTATTAACTAAGGTCACTGTTTTCCTAACGAAAATAGTTAAAGAATAAGTTAATTTAAAGTATCTCAAGGGAAAGCAAGTAGGCCAGGATGAATACTGATTACTGAAAGCTTGATGATATGGCGAATTAATTGTGTATTGGATTGATGCAATGCTCACTCCGTCGGATTGATGTAAAGTTATGTCTTGCATAGGCGGACGATGACAGTTCATACTCAACCCGGCTACTTCGCTGGAGGATGATTGATCGAATTTAATTGATTGTCTTTGTCAAAGATGCTTGCAGAATTGTCTTTGTCACAGGGCAAAATTGTTGGAAGTAAAGTTATTGAAGAAAGGGATAATGCACACCGTTTGTAGGTGGGCAGTGTTGATCTGTAAAATAGAAACCTTAGCCTTAGTATCCTTAGTATTTGTTTGGGACATAGCAGTCCCAGGCCACGATGGATCGATGGATCCTTAAAGCATAATAAGCCGAAGTCATTGAGTTTTCGCTGAGTTTCCGGCTTCTACAAAAGTTTGTTTGAGATCCATTCATTGATAAATCAATTAATATAATAATTTATTTCGTATATACAGATTAATATTTTTTGCATTCTTCTCGTATTTTTCATGTACTTGCCAAAAGTTTTCAT